ATAATTCACCTGCTTCTCAAATGTGATTTGCGAAGAACTGAATACAAGATTGAAGATCCCCAAATTTGTTTGGGAAAAAAATCCTTTAATTTCAAAATTAGCAGTTTGAACACCACCCAACTCTCATCTTCCTTTAATTCGTCTGCTTTTCATCCAAAAGAAAATGTTTTCTCAAGACTGCTGACGGGAACGGGAATACGGGATTGTTGCTTGATAGCCTTGATTTGTTTGATCGAGATTTCTCCACATTAGTTCTAATATATGTATTCATATCAAATTATCAATTTTTAACAAGGAGGGATCCGTACCCCCGACACCGTGGTTTGTAGCCACGTGCTCTAATCCTCATTCAGATTTTTGTTTGCAATAATTGAATTGAACTGAAATTTTGTTTGTTTGCAATAATTGAATTGAATTGAAATTTTGTTTATAAATGATTTTGTTGAATGTTGAGGTTTGAATTTGGTAGCGGTCTTATTTTTTTTTTATTTTTTTTTTTTAATAAATGAGTTTGTTGGATGTTGAAGTTTGAATTGTTAATTTTTTTTTATATTAATTGAAATCAATTGTTGATTACAGATGGAGAAGTACTTTCCAAAGGCGTCAAATTTAGAGGATTCTTCAACTCTTTTGCCGTCTATAAAGAAAAGTATGCTCGATAATCAAAATTCAAAGAGCACTGAACTTGGCAAAAATTCAAAGAGCACTGAACTTAGCGAACTTTTGGAAAATCTCCCTTCAGATCCGGCCCGCCGAAAGCGTATCTTAGATTACGACCCAAATATTTGCGATCAAATTAGACGACACTATCTACTCAAGGGCCCTTGTTAACCTCGAAGTCATAAGTTTCCTCAACAAGACATCTACGGGACTAAGCACAGGTTTAATTCTTCTTGGTTCAATGATCATGTTGAATGGTTAGAGTACAATACTGAGAAAGATGCTTTATTCTGCCTTCGTTGTTATCTCTTTAAATCAGAACATAGTGACCAAGGGGTAGCGATACGTTCACAGCTACAAGTTATAATAATTGGAAAAAATAAACAGGGAGTCAAGATCATGTCGGCACCATGGGTAGTGTTCATAACCGCGCTCTGTTGAGTTGCCATGCTTTAATGAATTAGAAAAACACCTTGAGTCACTTATTAGCCGTCAAGTGGAAGTCTCAAAAGAGAATTATTATACTCTCTTGAATGCTTCAATTGATTGTGTTCGTTGCTTATTACGACAAGGTCTTGCTTTTCGTGGTCATGATGAATCTGAATTCTAAAAAAATAAAGGAAACTTTCTTGAACTTTTGGAGTTTCTTGTTGAACATAATGATAGTGTTAAGGCTGTCGCCTTTGAAAATGCACCGAGAAATATTCAGTTGAAGTCGCCTAGTATACAAAACGACATTATAAATGCAGCTGCTGTTGAGACTCTTAATGCAATTATTTGTCAAATGGGTGATGCTTCATTTTCTGTTTTGGTTGATGAAGCCCGTGATCATTCGATAAAAGATCAGATGGCAGTGGTTTTATGTTTTGTTGATACTAAAGGTGAATTAATTGAAAGATTTGTTGGCATTGTACACGTTAAAAGTACTGATGCACATTCTTTAAAGCTCGCAATTGATGAGTTGTTTCTAGAAATGGGTTGAGTATATCAAATCTTCGAGGGAAAGGCTACAACGGGGCGAGTAATATGCGAGGCGAGTTTAATGTTCTTAAGGCACTAAATTTGAAAGAAAATAGTTGTGGCTTTTATGTTCATTGTTTTGCCCATCAACTTCAACTTGCACTCATTGCTTTAGCTAAAAATCATGTTGGGGTTGCTTTTTTTTTTTTCATGATTACAAGAGTTCTCAACCTTGTTGGATCATCATGTAAATGTCGTGATCTTCTTCAGGAGCAACAACAAGAACTAATAGAAGCTCTCTACAATGATGAGCTCCCAACTGGAGAGGACTACTGTTATACGTCCAGGTGACAAACGTTGGGGTTCTCATTATAATACTTTATTGAGCATTATCTCTATGTACTCTTCTATAATCAAAGTTATCAAATTTATTGAAATGATAATCGAGGATGGGGCTAGTGTTGATCAAAGAAGAGAATGTAATTTGTTGCTTGTACATATGCAATCCTTTGATTTCATATTTTATCTTTTTCTAATGAGACAAATTTTAGATGTAAGGAATGAGTTGTCACTAGCATTGCAGAGGAATGATCAAGATATTGTCAATGCAATAGATTTGGTTAGAGCACGCAAACAACAACTCTAAAAAATGAGGGAAGAAGAATGTGAATGGGAAAATTTATTGGAGAAGGTAAATTCTTTTTGTAATAAGCAC